CTAAAATGCTATGGGAAGGGAAGGAAACAGGTCCGTGACGTAGGAAGTGATGAAGGAAGTAGTAAATGCGAGCAGTCCGGAGTGTGGGGACTGTTTATGACGATAAGATTAGGGTATCTGCAATCCTAAAATGCTATGGGAAGGGAGGAAAACAGGTCCGCAACGTAGGAAGTGGTGAAGGAAGTAGTCAAGGCGAGTAGTCCGGAGTGCGGGAACTTTTTATGACGATTAGAATAAGGTATCTGCAATCTTTAAGTGCAATAGGAAGGGAGGGAAACAGGTCCGCGACGTAGGAAGTGGTGAAGGAAGTAGTCAAGGCGAGCTGTCCGGAGTGTTGGAACTATTATGACGATTAGATAAGGGTATGGGCAATCAAAAATGCTATGGGAAAGTGAGGGAAACAGGCCCGTGACGTAGGAAGTGGTGAAGGAAGTAGTCAAAGCGAGCTGTCCGGAGTGTTGGAACTGTTTATGACGATAAGATAAGGGTATGGGCAATCCTAAAATGCTATGGGAAGGGACGGAAAGAGGTCCGCGACGTAGGAAGTGGTGATGGAAGTAGTCAAGGCGAGCTGTCAGGAGTGAGGGAACTGTTTATGGCGATTAGATAAGGGTATGGGCAATCCTAAAATGCTATGGGAAGGGAGGGAAACAGGTCCGTGACGTAAGAAGTGGTGAAGGAAGTAGTCAAGGCGAGCTAACTGGAGCATGGGAACTGTTTATGATGATTAGATTAAGGTATTTGCAATCCTAAAATGCTATGGAAAGGGAGGAAAATAGGTCCGCGACGTAGGAAGTGGTGAAGGAAGTAGTCTAGGCGAGTTGTCCGGAGTGTTGGAAATGTTTATGACAATTGGATTAAGGTATCAGCAAACCTAAAATGCTACGGGAAGGGAGGAAAACAGGTCCGCGACGTAGGAAGTGATGAAGGAAGTAGTCAAGGTGAGCTGTCCGGAGTGTGGGGACTGTTTATGACGATTAGATTAAGGTATTTGCAATTCTAAAATGCTATGGAAAGGGAGGAAAATAGGTCCGCGACGTAGGAAGTGGTGAAGGAAGTAGTCTAGGCGAGTTGTCCGGATTGTTTGAAATGTTTATGACAATTAGATTATGGTATCAGCAAACCTAAAATGCTACGGGAAGGGAGGAAAACAGGTCCGCAACGTAGGAAGTGATGAAGGAAGTAGTCAAGGTGAGCTGTCCGGAGTGTGGGAACTGTTTATGACGATTAGATTAAGGTATTTGCAATCCTAAATGCTATGGGAAGGGAGGGAAACAGGTCCGCGACGTAGGAAGTGGTGAAGGAAGTAGTCAAGGCGAGTAGTCCGGAGTGTGGGAACTGTTTATGACGATTAGATTAAGGTATCTGCAATCTTTAAATGCAATGGAATGGAGGGAAACAGATCCATGACGTAGGAAATTGTGTAGGATGTAGATGTGTGGATTTATGTATCTCCAATACCACGGTGCTTTCAGAGTGAACTAATGATTTTCCCCGAGCAAAGCTCGGTCCCCAGGTACTATAATCAAATGACGACACTAGCTTGAGGTTCGTGACGTATGAAGAGGTTAAGGAAGTAGTAAAGGTGAACAGTCTGGAGTATGGAAACTGTTTATGACGATTAGATTAAGGTCTCTATATTCCTAAAATGCTACGGAAAGGGAGGGAAACAGGTCCGCGACGTAGGAACAGGTGAAAGAAGTAGTAAGGTGAGCAGTGTGGAGTGTGGGAACTGGAAACCGTTTGTAGCAGTTTTAATGTATCTGCAATGCTGAAATGCAATGAGAAGGGATGGAAGCATGCCCAAGACATAGGAAATTGTGAAAGAAGTAGTAAAGTCTAGCAGTACGGACAGTGGGGATGTTTGTTGCAATTAGATTAACGTATCTAAAATACTAAAATGCTATGGAAAGCGATGAATACAGGTCCACGACGTAAGTGGTGAAGGAAGTAGTAAAGGTGGCAGTGCAGAGTGGGGGAACCGTTTGAGCAGATGGATAAATGAATTTGTAATACTTAAATGCTATGAGAAAGGAAGGAAACAGGCCAATGACGTAGTAAATGGTGAAGGAAGTAGTAAGGCTAACAGCGCAGAGTGTGGGAACTGTCTTTGGCAATTACATTAATGTATCTGCAATCCTAAAATGCTATGGGAAGAGAGAGAAACAGGTCCACGACGTAGGGTGTGGTGAAGGAAGTAGTAAAGGTGAGCAGTGTTGAGTTTGGGAATGGATTAATGTATCTGCAATGCTAAAATGCTACGGGAAGAGACTGTAGACTGTAATATGTTAAAATGATTACGAAGCACAAATCGATACATATTTTCGATACATGCAATCGTTTACAATCGAAATTTACAACTGAGTTGACAACAGCTGATTTTTACTCCATAGAGGCTAAACACGATTTTTACTCCCTAAATATTAAAAATGCTACTTTAGACCCGCAGCGCATGCATGAAAAAATACTGTTTTTACTGCAGTAAGACAAAAACAATATAATATGAACCCTTGATGACTCCGCTCAATTTTGTGGATGCCTCTGCGAACGCCACCTAGTTAAATTTTGTGGCCTTTTAAAAATAACACGTGGTGGTCTGGAAAATAAATTTTCAATACTGGGGGAAGATTTCAATATATTGAATGCTACTTTCATTACACTGTTAATCTTTTGTAGCCCAGGATAGTATTGAGTAATAAATTTAGGATCACTTGAAAAACTATTATCTTGGTTGAGTTTTTTGGGTTTTTTGATCTGATTGGATATTAGTTTTTGAGGATAGCCTCTTTCAATGAAAGCAGAATTCAATTTAGTGATATATTTTTCAAAATCAGATTTTTCACTGCAGAGTGTTTTAGCACGAATTGATAAGCTTTTTGGAATAGATTTTTTCATATACATAGGGTGACAACTTTGATAATGTAAGTATTGCATTTTGTTAGTTTCTTTTAAATGAATTTTTGTTTTAAGTTTTTGATTGTCAATGAAGACATCAACATCTAAGAAAGAAACAATTTTGTCTGAATAATTCCAAGTAAATTTCAAGCAAGAAAATTGGTTTAAATCTTGTAGAAATTCTTTTAGTGAATTTATTCCGTGTTGCCAAACAATAAAGATATCGTCTATATATCTTAACCAAAGAAGAGGAGTTAAAGGATTGTTTGAAAGAAAATTTTGCTCTAATAGACCCATGAAAAGATTAGCGTAGGCTGGGGCCATTTGTGTACCCATTGCTGTGCCTTTAATTTGTAAGAAGTGTTTGTCCATGAATCTGAAATTGTTCATGGTTACTGTAGTATCATTTGAATGAGAGTTTATATATATATATATGAACCATGTCACAAGCCCCGATGTGGTATTTGCAAAATTATGAGTAATACAACTGAATTTAATAGTAAAGTTTCAAACAAGGTTTATCCGATTGTTGGTAGATCAACTTGTGAATCTCACAATGTGATTTATCAACTATCGTGTAAACATTGTCCAAAAGATTACATTGGCCAGACTTAAAACTCTTTAAGAGTTCGAATGACAGACCATTGTTTTGATGTGGTACATGAAGACAAAAGAAAACCAATCTATAATCATGCCGCTCACCACAACCAAAATTTTGAAGGCTGCTATACCCTTAAAGCCCTTCACAAAGTAAACCCACATCAAAACCCTAAATGCAACCAACTGGTTTTAAGAAATTCTGAATTGGCTCACCAGTTGGTACTGAAAACAAAGTTCCCCTCTGGTTTAAATTTAAGATAGTAAAAAAGTGATTCAACTCAGCTGAATTTTAATTTTCTTTTAGGCTGATTTTATTATTTTCTTTGATCTGTACTCAATCATATGTTCTCAAAATTCAACTATTTGTAAACACTTCATATTTATTTGTTTTGTTCATCTTTACATTTTTCATTCTCTTTGCTTGAAAACATTTGTATTAAACGAAAATTTGCAATGTTTCATGTTTCATTCATCATAAACTCTATCAAGATCTCCTCAAGAATATCTATATATATATATATATATATATACAGTAGAGTCCCGCAAACTCGGCACTCGATAATTCGGCAGTCTGGATAACTCGGCCATCACCTAGCTCAGACAATTAGTGATTTTTTGAGTCCGAGTTAAACATGGGCTCAAGTCAAATCATTCGCAACTCGTACCAAGGATTTGTTGTACTATATCTAACAACTTAATACTGACTTGTAATATAAAAATAAATAAATAAGGCAGCTAAAAGGAATAAAAATTGTATTGTTCTTATTTTTAAACCTAGTTCCCGATAACCCGGCATTTCATAAACTCGGCACCCTTCCAGTCCACATTACGCCGAGTTTGCGGGACTCTACTGTATACCTATATATATATATGTGTCCATCCGCAAGATAACTTGAGTAATTTTTGTCCAATTTTGATAAAATTTGGTTTGAAGGTGTAAGGTGGGATAAACTTGAAGCAGTTCGCGAACCAGCATGATCGGACCATGGGAACGGGGTTTAACGGGGGGTTTTATGCCCAAAAATGGGTTTTTCTCATTTTTTACCTATAAAACACAAAATTGATCAATTTTTCTCCAGACCTTTTTAAAGAGCTTAAAAACAAATATGGTAATTTAGTATATGAAAGTGTTTTTGTACGGTGATTGGTTACGGAGAAAATTCAAAAAAATTGTTAATTTAAAATTCCCATGTTATTCTTATGGAAAATATTATATGTTGTAGTTGGCTTGTTTATGGATATATTTTTATCGAACTTGGCAGATTTATTTATTTCATACTAAGCTATTGATATTTTAATAAAAAAACACACTTTATTAGTTTCCCTGTAGCAGCTAACCCAGGTACTCGTTACATAAATGTTAATTTAATAGATTAATTGAAAATCAATACAGGCAAATGGAAATTCGCTTAGTCGGCAGGTTTGCTGCACCGGGGGTATTTTAGTTATACATGTTGTAGTAAAATAATTTATTCTAGATATTTATACATATGTGTTTTTTGTAGGTTCCATGCCTTGTACGGGCGTTGCCAGACTTATTCACCACAGACTTGATACTTCGGCTTTACGATATGAACACAAAGACTGGTCGTCTCGCCACCGCTCGAGACCTATGCCTCCTGCGCAACATGACTATGAAAAGTCCAGCATAGTAGATCTCAATGTACAAACTAAATGTATCGACTAATGTATTGCTATTCTGTCTAGTAGTGTTGATTTTACTACTAAACTGTTGTAACATTTTCAATCTGTGATTGTGCTGATTACAGTGTATATATTTTTTACTTTCTTATTGTTATAGTTAATATAAACCCTCTCTTAACTCCTTTCCACAGTACCAGACGTAACGTTGGATAAGGACGAATTAATGAAAAACTACCAGTAGCATTACTGCAATCTTCTGTTGTGAAATAGTTTGACCTGCGTAGAATTAACCGTAGAATGTGAGTATTTAACAGTGAAGAAGAGTAGGATGGGATGAGCAGGGCTGTATTTAGAATCTACGAGGCTCCCAGCAGATCTCACCAGAGAGTCACCTCTATGTTCTGATTCTTCGAAGGTTGGAACCTAAGGGATTAGAAATGCATGTGGTATTGCTTCAACTCGATGAATTTACCTTTTGTTTCCAATAATCAGATCAGCAAAAAGACCTAGGAAACTAACTAATAAAAGTCTATTAATTTTTTAATAATATTAGGGGTCTTAGGTCAGGACCAGACATTTTTATTTCTTTAGGGTTGAGTAAAAAAAAAATTTGAACTTCGGGTATTGGATCGAAATTGGATCTAGGATCACCACAAAGTCATTCAAGTTTTACACCTCTACACATTTATGCCAAAATTTATCATAAAATGGACCAAAATTACATGAGTTATCATACAAATTTGAACGAAAAGTGTTTTTGGCCTCTGGGGACATCAAAATATTAAAAGTAAATCGGTCAAGAGTCGTCTAGATCTTTCAGTGCCGCCTTCGGTAATAGCTTCTTCCCTAAAAAAAATTCGCTAAAAGTTCTTCACACGGTCTACACAAACGACCTATACGTTTTGTTTCCTCAACAGGTGGACCTACAGGCTTAGGTGGTCAGAGTAAAAAACTCAAGATTCATGAGGCATGAGGACGAAAAATTGAATAGCTTTTTTTGTATTCAAGGTCTTTTATACGATAAGGCTAACTTGGTTTAAAGGATGATCACAAAAAAGTGGAGACTTGCTCTAGTACTGTCATTCCTGAAAGACAACACAAAAAAGGAAACCAAAGTTAAGTTTTTTTTGAAGTCAATGCATGACTGCTCACTTTGCTCACTAGTACCTGGGGCCCACTCTGTGATGCCATCCTTTACTACTTCCTTCACCATTTCTTACGTCATGGACCTGTTTCCTTCCCTTCTCATAGCATTTAAGTATTACAGATACATTAATCTAACTGCCACAAACGGTTCCCACACTATGCGATGCTATACTTTACTACTTCCTAATTCGTGGACCTGTTTTCATCTCTTTCCATAGCATTTTAGTATTTTAAATAAATTAATCTAATCGCCACAAACATTTCCCACACATGTTTCCATCCCTTCTCATAGCATTTAGTATTTCAATTTCAGATACATAATTCCAACTGTTACAATTAATTGGTTTCCAGTTCCAAGACTCCACACTACTCGCCTTTACTATTTCCTTCACCTCTTCCTACGTCGCGGACCTGTTTCCCCCCCTTCCCATTGCATTTTAAGATTGCAGATACCTTAATCTAATCCTCATAAACAGTTCCCACCTTCCGGACTGCTCGCCTTGACTACTTCCTTCACCACTTCCTACGTCTCGGACCTGTTTTCCTCCCTTCCCATAGCATTTTAAGATTGTAGATACCTTAATCTAATCGTCATAAACAGTAACCACACTCTGGACTACGCCTTTACTACTTCCTACACCACTTCCTACGTTGCGGTCGCGGACCTCTGGTTCCCTCCCTTCTCATAGCATTTTAGGATTGTACCTTAATCTAATCGTCATAAACAGTTCCCACACTCCAGACCGCTCACCTTTACTATTTCTTTTACCACTTCCTACGTCACGGACCTGTTTCCTTACCTTCCCATATAGCATTTTAGAATTGCAGATACTTTAATCTAATCGTCATAAACAGTTCCCGCACTCAGGATAGCTCGCATTGACTACTTCCTTCACCACTTCCTACGTCGCAGACCTGTTTCCTTACCTTTCCATAGCATTTTAGGATTTCAGATACCTTACCATCCTTATGGAACAGCTGAAGCCACTTTTATTGTTAGTTCTGTCTGGTTTTCTGTAGATGTCGTGTTTTGTTTACAATTGGTTTCTATTATTTTAGGGTTATTTTCTCATTATTTTTGTCTCACTGTTTGGTTATATAGCCAACGAACGATAGTAATATAGTACGGTAATATAGTGAACGAGTTATCCTTTATGATTAAATAGTATTATTTGGTTAAACGAGGTTTTAATTTACCTAACAAGAAACAAATTGTAAACAAAGCACGACATCTACAGAAAACCAGACAGAACTAACAATAAAATTGGCTTCAGCTGTTCCATAAGGATGGGAAATCTACCTTAATCTAATCGTCATAACAGATCCCACACTCCACACTGTTAAGTTAGCCTTTACTTCGATGTATCGAGTAAGCCTCAGTATAATCATTGCTCAATAGTAACAAGTGATTTTTGCTTTTGTACTGTATTTTGTAATTTCTAGTATACTGTGGGTAGATGCAAGGCCATACTAGAAAAAACGCCTTTATGATCACATGTGTTACAACTAACAAGTCTTTTGTTTACTTTTTCCTTGTTATTTAATTCAACCAACATGGTTACTTAGCAACCCATAAGACTAATGTTAATAAAATGTGAATTTCAGTTTTATTTTTCTACGTAATTAGATTTTTGTTGGCAGTTCTAACTCGTTTTTAGGCCAAAAATAAACTATTTACAACATTTGAAGAAAATTGTCGGAGCCGTTTCGAGATCTTTCTGCAAGCAAGCATACATACAAACAAACATTGCTCGTATTAGAGTATAGGATTCCTTTGTCGTAAAAATCCCAAACCTGATGATATTTATATCTCAAAAAGTGTGAGATTTGGGCAGTGTGAAGTTCAGGGCAGTACCGTTGACTGTAAATCCTTAAGGATTTAAAGTCAACGGCAGTACACTTCTTGGACATCTCTGTCCAGCACCTATAGGGGGTTGAGAATGCACTGTAAGTGTAACTCTTTTTGACTTTTGATTGTTGTTGGGGGAATCTTGGAGATGACAAAAACCGATATTATCGCCCTCCCAGCAGGGGCACAACTTGGGGGGAGGGGGAAAGTAGCGCCGAGGGGTGTTATAGAACATCGCTCATATCTCATGAACTAGTTCTTTTCTTTTTTTAATTTTTTTAAAAGCTTTGGTCAACATATTGTCTACAATTTTGGTCTCACATCCATTATACTTAGCCACGTCTTTTATGTAGTTAAGCTCTTTATTATAATTTTCTTGGGACAGTGAGGTATTTAAGAGGCGATAAATCATTGAATTAAAAGCTTATTTTTTCTGTTCTGGAGGGTGATGAGAATCTTGAGTGACAAACCTATTGGTGTGGGTTGGTTTTCTGTAAATATCAAACTCGAGATTTTCATCACTCCGTAGGAGTACCGTAATACATCTAGAAATGAGATCTTCTTATCATTTTCAACCTCATAGGCTATGTGTATTTTATTGACGGATAAAAAGAGTTCAGTTTGTTGACAAAGTCATTAACGTTTTCTTTGTGATCAAAAACTGCAAATGAAATATGTCGTCTATGTACCTTAACCAGGTTAATGGAAAATATGCCATTACTTCTTTTGCTTTTGATTCAAAAGGACTCATAAATATATTTGCTATAAAATTTAGCCGTTCCTTCAGTTTGGGTATAAAAATTATTATTATATTCAAATGTGTTTTGGGACATACATAGATTTGTCAAAATTACATATTCATTACCTAATTATTTCTTTTGGTAGATTTAATGAAATGAGCCATTTTCTTAACAAGTGTCTCGTAATTGGAATCGGGACACTTGGATAAAGGGATACAACATCAAAAGAGACTAATTCATCTTTTTGAAGTTCAAATCTTTAATTTTATCTATTAACTCGTATCTGTTCTACAAAGGAAAAGATTTGTAGTAAACACTATAAATAATAGCAGCCTTTGAAAAATTATAAAATAGTGAGTATTTCCATTAGTTACATAATCTTTGAGTTGACGCTTAACTAATCGGAAATTGTGACTGTTATTCCTTTTTAAATAACTCCAGAAAAAAATACTTTGGTTTAATGAGCACCGTTTAACATTTAACCAACTACTTTTTTCTGTGTTGTTGTTCCTATCGAATATTAGTTCTATAATGAGGACGAGGACTGAGGAGGGGAGGACTGAGGAGTTAACGAACGAGTTAGCCTATAAGGCTTGGGATTTGAAGAAGAAGAAGAAGAAACCGCACCGATGTACATTTAATTTAATATCATGTAGCCCCTAAACGAATAAGTTTAGAGCAAAAATGTGAGGAGTAAAGTCTTAAAACTGCATCTAAAAAAAACTGTGTATTTTATGTATGTGTATTTTTTTAGGGATGTAGATGCAATTTTAAGATTTATTTACTCTTCACATTTTTGCTCTAAACTTACTTGTTTAGGGGTTACATGGTATTAAATGTACACCGGAAGTCTCTTTTTCATAGGCTGTAACTCCTAAACGAGTGGGTTTATGGAAAAAATATCAAGAACTAAATAGTTTTTAAATTGCATTTTTTTTCAAAATTTCTAAGTTGGCCGCCATGTTGGAAAATGGCGGCCATTTACATACATCTCATTTACTTATTTTTCAACATCTTTGAAAACAAGGGAATGTTCCCCATTTTAAGTTTACTGTAAACGATATCGTTTACAAGATCCTAATGGTGGCACAGTTAAATAAAACACCCTGTATACTGTATGAATTTAATCTAAAAGTGACTATTTTCAACCAATTTGCTCAATGTGGCGGGGCGGATGACGTCATCACTGGCAGCAGTTTTCCTCATTTAATCGGGTGTTTTAGAGCACAAATTAAATTAATTATTAAACTTATATATTGTTAGCACAAAATGAGCACTAAATCATGACACCATTTTCAACCGATTTGCTCAATGTGGCGGGGCGGATGACGTCATTACCAGCGGCAGTTTTTCCTCATTTACTCGGTTGTTTTTAGAGCACAAATTATAAAAACTATATATTGTTGTAGCACAAAATGAGCACTAAATTTCTATGTACAATACATTGTTAAATCCTTTGGTGGCGGGCTGAACGTGAAGTTAGCCCCGCCAACAGTTTTTATAATTGTTTGATGTGTTATTGTTGAGCACAATTTTTTTTATATATACCTTTGAGAAGCACAACATCAGCGGCACTAAATTATGGATATGTTTTTATAATTTGTACTCATTATGGTGGGGCCAACTTTACGGGGGTGACTGTAGTAATAATTATTATAGAGTTTCTGAGGTAAAAGAAAGTAAACTGTGAAGTGAATTGACTTCTGACTGACTGACTTCGATCTGATCTGACTTAACAATGGACTTAACTTGAACTTTTTTGGACTTGAGTTGACTCGTTGAACGTTGAAGTTTGAAGTGAGAAGTGAACTTGAACTGTGAAAAGGAAAAGAAGTGAGTGACTAGTTAAAGTGACTAAAAAAGTGACTAGCGTAGTGAGTCAAGTGTCAACTGTCAATGTCAAGTCAAGTGACAAAACCAAAAGTGACGTGACTAGTGAGCAGAGCAACCTCTGAAGTTATAATGTTTTGAACAACTAAATATGGACTTAACTTTCTTGATCTAAGTTACTGTTAAAATTAGCTCAACCTCAACTATAAGGTAAAACATTTCTTATCATATGATTAGGAACATTTTAATCGGGAATGTCAGCTATCATCATACCAAATTTCAACCTTGTCGGTTTAGTATTTTTCGCGTTTACTTGTCACATACATCCATCCATACATCCGTACATCCAATCTTTCTTACTTATAATATTCACAGAGGATACGCGTCCGGTAACAGGACGTTGATTAGGCGTCCGGCAGTTACTGTCATAACCTAACCTAACCAACCAAACTTGCTGATAATGAAAAAAATCAAATGAAGGTTCAATTCTCTTCATAACATAAAATTATAAATGCCAAAAATTCTAACAAAAGATGTACAGTTAAGAAGAAATTACATTCAAAGCAAAATCTGTGACAAAAAGTTAAAGAAACCGATGGGTTTCGAACCAGGGACCTCTTGGATATCAGCCGAGCACTCTATCCACTACACCACGAACAACGCTGGCCGAACATCGTATCGTTGTGGTAATGGCGTTCCGGGACCCCACAACCCGGTGATGTCACTACCGGACGCCTAATCCATGTCTGATTACCGGACGCGTATCCTCTGTCTATAATATTAGTAGGATAAGTAAACTGTTGTAATATCAGTTTGTTGGATTTTGCTTGTTTATGGATGGGTTTTTATCAAACTTGGCAAATTTATTTAACTTATTTCATAAAAAAATCACACTTCGTTACCCTCCCTGTAGGCAGCAAACCTAGGTACTCGTTAAACCCAATGTTATTGAATTAGATTGAATTGAAAATAAAGTAACACGCTTAAACTAAACGCAGATAATAAAAGTAAGTTACTCCAAGAATCAAAATGGAATCAAAACCCTCAGTTTTTAATTTATTACAAAAACTACAGAAAGGTTTTCAAAAAAGTAGTTGCACTAGCAAAACTTAAAGCTAATGATGACTTTATAAATAAGTCTAAAAATAAAAGTAAAGCATCTTGGGTAGTAGTGAAAAATGAAACAGGACTTAATAAGCAAATATCTGATTAACTTCAATAATTTTTTTATTAATATTTCTCAGTATGCTAACCAGTCAACAGATAAATCTAAAGCCATTCAGCTACTAACTAAAAATCATCCACCTTCCAAATTCACATTTAAATTTAGAAAGGTTTCAAATAACAAATTAAGAAAAGTTTTTGCATCTCTCAGTAACACTAAGTCCTCAGGTTGGGACGATATTCCTCTTTTTGTTGTTAAAAGAGTCTTGAAATTTATCGAACGTCCATTATGCCAAATAGTAAATCAGTCCCTTGACGAGGGTGTTTTTCCTGATAAGCTTAAGTTTGCTGAGATTAAACCGCTATTCAAAAAGGGTGATGTCAACGATCCTTCTAACTACCGTCCTATAGCAGTTTTGCCATGTTTTTCAAAGATTTTTGAAAAAATTGTTAAGATTCAGCTAACGGAATTTTTGGAAAGCAATAATCTAGTAAATCCGTCACAGTTTGGTTTCCGCCCAGGGCTTAGTACTGAAAAATCCATAACAAAAATAATTGACTGCATTGCGAAAGCCTTGGATGGTTCGCAGAAGACTGTGGGTGTTCTGTGTGACTTATCCAAGGCTTTTGACTGTGTGGATCATGATATACTTTTAGAAAAACTAAGTAAGCATGGAATAAAAAACACTGAATTAAAGTGGTTTGGATCCTATTTAAAAAACCAAAAACAAAGACTTATTGTACAAAAAATGCAGAGAAATTATAAATCAGAGTGGAACATAAACCACTGTGGAGTTCCTCAGGGCTCCATTCTAGGCCCTTGTTTATTTATTATATATGTTAATGATCTATGTAAAGCTACTAAGATGTCTACCTTTCAATATGCAGATGATACCGCTCTAATTTGTACAGGACAGAACAATGATATCATACAAGCCTCGATAACTCATGAATTTCAACTTCTCGGGGACTGGTTTGCAGTAAATGGTCTGTCCATGAATGTGGCAAAAACCCAACTAATTTAGTTTTCTGCATCCAATATTAACCAAGAAATCTGTTTAAATACAAACTTTAATTCAATTCACTCACAAAAATCAATAAATTATCTGGGAATTGATATTGATTCACAATTAAATTGGCAAAATCACATTAAAAACCTATCAAAAAGACTACGTTCAGCAACATTTGTTCTTACTATAATCAGGGACACTACTAATTTAAAAACACAAATAGCAGTATATCATGCATATTTTTCATCGATTATGAATTATGGAATTACTGTATGGGGCTCATCAAGTCAGGCCAAAAAAATATTTGTTCTTCAAAAAAGAGCAGTAAGAATAATGGCCAGAGTTCCCAATAGAACACATTGTAAAGATTTATTTAGGCCTATTCAGTTTAAAATTTGGACCTTTTTTAGCTCTTATCTATATAATTAATACGCTACATGAAACTTTGTCGGTTGAACTCCTCCGCCATTTCTTAACCGATTTTATCCATTGACGTCTCATTGGAAAGATCGTGTCGCGTAGATTTGCAAACTGGCCTTACATTTTTAAAAAAGTCCAATGGGCTCTGCCCCAGTGGCTTTGAAAGTTCCCATGTTATCCTTATGAAAAACATAATTGTTTACATTTTGATCAGCTGTATAATTTAATTGCTGTTATTTATTATTCAATTCAATGAAACGCATTGAGTACATTTATTTACTATTTGAGTTTGTGTAAACATAACCTCCAAGACGGATCGTGTTAGTATGGTTGTTTGTATCTTAAATTTGTGTATTTATCGTTGTTTTGTGTCGCTATGACGGATCGTGTTAGCATGATGGTAACTTAAATTTGTACATTTATCTTTTGTAAATTTATATTTTGTGTAGCAATAATTTGTTTATTTGTTGTTTTTTTTTTCTTTTAAATGCCTCCGACGCGACTACAACGAAACGTATACAGGAGGCGTAATCGTGATAACGACCGCAGCTACAGAACAGGGGCGCGTAATAGACTTAACTCATCACAGTCAGCACCTGACCCTGGACAATCTCAACTATTAGGCTACAAATGCGCCCTAACACTATCCCAAAACGACTTTTCGTTGTCAATTGGCCCTCTATCAATGACCTGTGTTGCCTGTACAGCAAAGCATTTTGAGAAGGAGAAAACCGGACGGATTGCTTTAGGTTTATCAATAACTAAGATAAACATGGTCTGAGTTATACACCGGTAATCTTTGAGTTGACTCTTTTAAACTCATTGTAAATATGACTGTTATTCGTTTTGAAATAACTTCTGTAATACTTTGCAATTGCTCGAATTCAAGCAACATGTACACTAGTATATACAAATTGGCATTAATGGTTAAAAGTGATTTCAATACATTCATGGACTGTCAACCATCTCATACACATAACACAAGATTAAAAAATATTATAAAACCGATTCAACATAGGCTTAAAATATTTCATTTATCTCCCCAGTATATAGGGCCAAAAGTTTACAATAAACTACCTGCTGGGATAAAAAACATTGCCTCAGTTTCTAAATTTAAATCATCTTTAAAAAGTTTCCTTTTGGAGAGGGCATTTTACTCACTAGAAGAATATCTTGGAGATGTGATTACAATTTGAAAGGTTTTACTTCTCCCATAGGTTTGTATTGATTGCTTTATTTGTTTTGTATTTTATAATGTAGATTTTTATCATGTAGATTTTTCAATGTATAATTTTATTAGACTTAATGGCAAATCACTCAAGAGAATTGATGTAATGTGATGATGTTAAAAAAAAAACTTTATTTGGATTAGAAACGGAAATATTGACATAGTATCAGTTTTAGTTGATTAATCAATTCCCGTACTTAGGACGGGCCAATAGCTCATCGTAATTATTTCCTATATCCATGAATGATTTCTTTTACAACCATTTATCCCCTGTAAAATATTATTACAGCATTTCACAGATATTAGAACTATAATAGATCATAAACATAAACAAATGAAGTAACTGAAAGAATCATATACTAATGAAGTTATTAACATATGGTTTGACAGAGCTACATCTATATAAATAAAATTAGAGTTTTGTCTGTACATTGCTTAGAATCATGCAGTTTTTGGTTATTTTTACGTTTCATAGCCTAAGAAAGCCGAAACGAGTCTTATCTCAATTTCTGTCAGTATGTCTGTCTGTTTGTCCATTCTGTGACACCGTCTGTAACGCCAAAATGTAATTTTACGCGGCCTACTCCTAGAAAACTAGATTACCAATCAAGGTTCTAATCATTTTTCTGTATTTACTGGGTTGGTGAGAGTGTCTTTGGCTATAAAAACATGGCCTCGCTTCATTAAAAACAAAATAACGAACCATCAAAAACCCAATTTCATTCGATTTTTGTCAAATTTTCTCCTAATGTTTACTATTACATTTTATGAAATAACGATCAGCTGTTTGGATTAGTTCTCACTTCTAGCTGTCACTGATATGTTTGCATTAAAAGTTGTTTACAAATACCGCAACCATTTCCGATCAAGTTTTGTTAGCACATCCAAACCAAGTGAGATTAAAAACGTTGTGCCTTACTCAAGCGGTTTAATTAATCGCAAGTGCAACGATTGTTCTTGAGTTTTGATAACCGGGGAAAATGCCGTGAATCAGTGTTGTATTAGTGCTGGGAAACTTACCTACATTTTTTTAATCATCGTCACTAATAGCTTACAAAAAGGTTTTCACTTATTGACGGCGCTTCAAGGACAGTTAGTTGTGTAAAGTGCAAAGTAAAAAATCACAAAATGCAGTGGGTGATCGTGGATGTTGCTGAAATCTTGGAAGATCTATCTGATTTCGCTGTCATCGTAACAGAAGTTTAACTTACAGATGTAGCTAAACTCGCTTTTCCAATGTGTCACTTTTGGTTTTTACTTACATTTTGACAACGATATCGGTACTTTTCCTACTTAGGAAGTAAAACTAAAAACGTCCAAAACCCCAGATTTGTGCATTTTTGTCACATTTCCTCCGAATGTTTCCTAGATAAATCAAATCAAATCAA